CGACCGACCAGACACAATCATTCGTTATTATTGCATCCACGTCGCCGGCTTGCACCATACGACCGTTCGCAAATGCTAGCACGACGTGCTTCCCTTTTGGGCAAGGACATCGGCGATGGGTCGCCATTGATACCTACAGTTGGCAAAGATGGATTCCAGGTGTGCATGGATGTGTCGCAGTTCAAACCAAAGGAATTAACCGTTAAAACTGTAGACAAAACTGTTATTGTGGAGGGCAAACACGAAGAGCGAGAAGATGATCATGGATTGATTCAACGCCACTTCATCCGCAAGTACACACTGCCCAAAGACTATGATCCCAAAGACGTTGTGTCTACAATTTCATCGGATGGTGTTCTGACGGTGAAGGCACCACCACCACCAAGTAAGGCTATTAAAGCAAATGAACGCATAGTCCAAATACAACAAACTGGGCCGGCTCATTTGAGTGTTAAGGCGCCTGAAGAAGCTGCCAACGAAGGCAAACCAAAGGAGAATGGAGATAAGAAATCTGCGAAGTAGGTGGTAGCTTCGTAGAGAAAACAATACGAAGCATACACATACAAATGAAATACAAACATTCTTTTGCATCAGCTAGTTCTTAGTACGTATTTTCTTCAAGTAACTGAATTCTTGTACTATTTTATGTTTTAATTGTATTTTGAAATTGACTACTATGTAGTATTAAAGTGCGTACATGAGTGTTTTTAACTGCCTGTAAACTGAATTTGTTCAACAAATAAATCTTAAGTTTTTTGTACTCTAGTAATTTTATTGTTTCTATCTTCGGGAAATTATAAATAACCAAGGTAAATTTGGCAAGATAAGCCCTAAAGCTCAATGCAAGCGTCAACGTTTGGGTGGGGTTTAGTAGCGCTCTCAACTATTTCGGGCTATTCCGTGCAAAGGGGTGGCCCGATCCAAAAAAAATTCCACACTTGTAGTCAAGGGTCTACGCATTATTTTAACACTCGCTTTTGTAAATTTTGGTCACTAATTTATTTACAAATTGGGTTTGAAATATGCCCTTTTTTGTAAAATTCGGAAATTAGCGTACATTTATCACTCCTATTTTCCTTAAAGCAGCCACTTCACCAATGCATTTTTGTATTCCCCTTCACTTTACACTTTACTTGATTAGTTATAACTTGGGGTACTCTTTATGAATTTGTACAACGATTTTGGGTTGCTGTGCCCAAACGCGTGAATCGAATCAAAAAACTTTTACACACACTTGTAGGCAACAGTTCACGCTTTATTACAAAAATTTACTAAATCTGTGCACTAATTTAACAATAATGTCGGTTGGAAATATGGTATTTGTTGCAAGTTTTTGTTATAAATTTGTATATACATTTTTATATAAAAGATATTTTTATAAAACACCCAGTAACCAAAATAGACATCACTGGGGCGGCAGCCCCAGGTCTACCACACAGAAAGGGAATTCTAGTTACCTCATCCTTTCCCAAGGTTAGATCACTGGGGCGGGTTATAATCCCTAAGCGCGGACGAAGGCCGCCTACGCAGAAAGGTGTTCTCTGCAAAAGGTGTTCAGCCCCCCTTCTTCGGACGCAAGTTTAACTTTGTTTTTTCCTTCCAAAAAATATAAAATTCCCCTATTTTCAAACAGCTCCCAAGGGGTCTTTAGGGGGGGAGGGGGATGTGGGTTGACTTTTCATAAATCGGCGTTCATCCTCCTTCGTTTAGGGGGGGTTAGGGGAGCTACGCAGAATGGTGTTTTCTGCAAAAGGTGTTCAGCTCCCCTACTTTGGCAACACAGAAAGGAGAATTCTACTGCCTGAGGGTTATAATCCCTAAGTGCGGCCGAAGGCCGCCTACGCAGAAAGGAATTCTACGCAAAATTCATTTGTTAAAAAGAACATTTTTTTTATAAAAACTTATTTTTTCTATTTTTAATTAACTATCTATCCGATATATAATTTGCCATTTCTTTTATTAAAAAATCCCACGGTTTCTGTTGGTTGGGTCATATTCCACTTCAGTTTGCATAAGAAAATTCCGTTTTTCCCCCTTTTTCAAACGGTTCCCTAGGGGCCTATGGGAGGAGCCCAATTGGGGGCGCCTTTTTAGAAATCGGGGACCGTCCCCTTTCTAGTGGGGGGAGTTTGGGGGGCCCACCCCCTTCCCCCCCCCAAAAAAAACGATGCGAGCGCTACTAAACATTTCCCTGTTTAGTACGTGGCCTAACTATTTCGAGGTATTGCGTCCAAAGTGGTGACCCGATACAAAAAAAATTTGCACACGCTTGTAGTCAAGGGTCTACACATTATTTTAACACCTACTTTTGTAATTTTTGGTTACTCATTTATTTACAAATTTGGTTTGAAATATGCCCTTGTTTGCAAAATTCGGAAATTAGCGTACATTTATCACTCCTATTCTCCTTAAAGCAGCCACTTCACCAATATATTTTTATATTCCCCTTCACTTTACACTTTAGTCGACTAGTTATAACTTTCTTTATGACTTTAATATTAACCAATTAATCACAATTCATTAAATAAAAACACCTTCAAAATCACGCGTGTGACCTTGGTTGCATATGCAAATTAAATGGCGGAGTTCAGCTGTCAAACTCTAAAATATGCAAAAGAATGAGAGACCAAAGAAGATAAGGTATAACCCAGTAAGCATTAAAAATATAAACCTTTCCATGGCAAATATTTATTTACTGTCCCTGTGGCTTCTTTCGGGTGTTGGGTATGGTTGTATTGAGATCGATAGAGGACTTAGTCCTGATCATAACCATAATAGACTTCGCTGAGCCGGCAGCCCCAGGTTTACCACACAGAAAGGGAATTCTAGTTACCTCATCCTTTCCCAAGACTATATCACTGGAGCAGTAGCCCCAGTTGGGTGCACACCAAAAGGAGAATTCTATTTGGTAAGGGCTATAAACCTAAAGCGCGGCCGAAGGCCGCCTACGCAGAAAGGTGGGCTGACTTCCAAAACGTACCAATACAATGTTTGGATACTGTTCTACTGCGGTATTTAAACTGTTTGTGTTTACAGAGTTGCAAAACATTGCAACATATACATTGCATATTTTGAATATTTAGTAAAACAATGATCACCATTTCGGTATTTTCCATTTTTAAAACCCAAATGGTAACTAAAACCAAACGAAGCATCAACTTTGTTTTTGATGCGCTGATTACTCTAGCGATACGTTTCGATAACTTTTCGGATGAGTTTCGGAAAAGTATACATTGTCAAACAATAGTTGCGTTTGGTACGTATGCAATGCAATTGACGTTTTGGAAGTCAGCCGTGTTCTCTGCGAAAGGTGTTCAGCCCCCCTTCTTTCGCCTGATAACCACCTTGGGATAATTTCTTTTATTTAAAAACTCCACAGATTCTGTTAGTTTTCAGTCTCCAATGCGGGTAATATTCCGATCTCAATTTGCGTATGTGTATATAAAAAGAATAAAATAAAAAACAACACAATGGAAAAGAATGTCCAGCAAAAAATATGTATTTTAATAAGTAAAGAGCCAAAATGTACTAAGCAAAGAGAAAGTAAAAAGAGCCACACTTTGCTAAGTAAAGAGCCGCATTTGGCTCAAAGAGCCGCGTTTTCCCACCGTTGGTATATATGTATGTATGTAAATCTATTGTTGGACTTAAGAGCGAAATACACCACACAAGCGGTTTGACAAACCAAGC